TGCATTGACAAATCAGCATAGGTGAAATCTTTAGAAATCATCTTCTACTCCTAACCTATACCATCAAGAATTCTTTTTTGGACAATCAATGGTTTCATTTGTCTCTGGGACCCTTGAGTGTGGACAGGTTTTGGCCCCAGTGAGTTAGGAGCTTCAGGAGAGCCCACCAAACTCAGGCTAACACAGTCACTCACTTGGACCCGGGAGAGGGAATGGGCAAGCTATGGACACCCCCTCTTGCTACTCCTACCACTGCCACCAGCTTTATTATTTTACCTTTCACATTTAGGTCTACGATCTAACGCCAGTGCACTCTGGGGTATGATGTGAACTCGTTTTCAGGATTCATCTTTTTCCATATGGTCATCTATTTTATTCAGCTCCATTTATTAAAAAGATCATCTAGCCAGGCATGGTAGGGCGCGCCTGTAGTTCCAGCTATTTGGAAGACAGAGGCTGGAGGATCGCCTGAGCCCAGCAGGTCGAGGCTACAGTGGCTGTGAGTGTCCACTGCACTCCTGTCTGGGTGACAGTGAGGCTCCAACTCCAAAAAAAAAAAAAAGAAAGAAATCATCCATTCCCCCACCATACTGCAGTGTCACCTTTGTCATAAATCAAGTGACTTCATATGAGTGAGTCCATTTCTGGATTCTTTCTTCTGTTCCATTGGTCTATTTGTCAGTCCTTTTGCCAGTTCCACACTATAGTAATTATTACAACTTTATAATAAATCTCGATACCTATTTAGTATAATCCTCCAGTTTTATTCTTTAAGATTATTTGGGCTATTCTCTATTCTTTAAGTTTCTCTACATTTTATTTTATTTTATTTTTTAGTCAGAGTCTCACTCTGTCGTCCAGGTTGAAGTACAGTGGTATGCTCATGGCCACCCCACCATCTACCCGCTGGGCTCAGGCAATCCTTCCGCCTCCACCTTCTAAGTAGCTGGAACAACAGGTGTATGCCACCACACCCGGCTAATTTTTGTGATTTGTTGTAGGGACAAGGTCTCACCAAGTTGCCCAGGCTGGTCTTGAACCCCTGGGCTCAGGCAGTCTTCTTGCCTTGGCCTCCCAAAGTGCTGGAATTGCAGGCTTGAGCCACTGCTCTCGGACTTCTCTACACATTTTAGAATCAGTTTGTCAATCTCTACCAAAAGAAACAGGCTGGGATTTTGATTGAGGCTAATTTGGGAATTGACATCTTTACATTATTGAATCTTCCAATCTGTGAACATTCTTTAATAGCTTTAATAATGTTTTGTATTTTTTCCTTTTTTTTTTTTTTTAAGGAGATGAGGTCTCAATATGTTGCTCAGGCTGGTGTCAAACTCCTGATCTCAAGTAATCCTCCTGCCTTGGCCTTCTGAAGTGCTAGGATTACAGGCATGAGCCACCACGCTTGGCTGTTTTGTATTTTTCAATGTAAAGACCTTGCACATCATTCATTAGATTTATTCCTAGGTATTTGATATTTTTAATGTCAAATGGTGTATCTTTTTTTTTTTTTTGAGTTGGAGTCTCACTCTCACTTAGACTGGAGTGCAGTGGCCGCTCCTGGCCACTGCAACCTCGACCTGTTGGGCTCCGGCGATCCTTCCGCCTCAGTCTTCCAAGTAGCTGGAACCACAGGCATGCGCTACCACACCCGGCTAATTTTTTTGATTTATTGTAGAGATGAGGTCTCACCAAGTTGCCCGTGCAGGTCTCGAACCCGCAGGCTCAGGCAATCCACTCACCTCGGCCTCCCAAAGGGCTGGAATTACAGGCTGAGCCACTGAACCCGGCCAAAATGGTATATCTTTAAAAACTGAATGTTCTGTGTGTTACTGGTATGTAGAAATTTTATATTAACCTACCCCCGGTAGAGTCTTCTGGATTTTCTACCTGCATAATCATGTTGTCTCGGGCAGTGTTGGTCTTACTACATTTCAGATGAGTCCTAGCAGCCTCCTTTTATTTTAATTTAATTTTTATTTTTTAGATTAAAGTGATACATGTGCTGGTTTGTTACATAGATACATTATGTGACGGTAAGATTTGGGTCCTGTTAAGCCCATCCTCAGGTGGTGGACATGGTACCCAATGGGTGGTTTTTCAACCCTCACTCCCTCCCTCCCTCCCCTCTTTAGGAGTCCCCCGTGTCTGCTGTTCCCATCCTTACACCCGGGTGTGTTTAGTGTTTAATTCCCATGTGTAAGTGATAACATACGGCATTCAGTTTTCTGTTTCTGAGATAATTCATTTAGAGTGACAGGCAGATTCCCTTCGGGTTGTTGATGATCTGTTAGCCAAACGACTGCCTCTAGCCTCTAAATCTCTACTCCCCCATCACCAAAGCCTGCGCTCTATTGATTGCTTCTGCTAGCTCCCCACACTCCCCACTACCACCCCTGGACCTAAGACCTTTTTTCTCAGGCTTTTCCTGCTGCCTCTGAGAATAACCTGTGGACTCGGGTGGCGGGGTGGTGTGGGGGAGAATCCCAGTGTCATTTAGACCATTCCCTGAAGATGTTCTCCTTATGCATTCCTGCAGCCAAAGCTGAGCACTTGGGTAGGGCAGGGGGAGTTGGGGAGAGAGGTGTGCTTGGGGGAAAAGTATCAGGCAGCTCTTTTTCAGCTGTAGCGTGTGTCCTTGCACCTAGCTACAAGGACATGGATGCAACAGGCAGCTAAACTAGTCCAGGAATAGCAGGTCTGCCCAAGAGGCTGGGAGGAGAGACCTGCTGGATGGAAACTCTTCTGTAGCAGAAAGCAAAGGCTGGGAGAAAGGAGGCCAGATTTTACTAAACCATGAGGTGAAGAGGCTACATAATGGAGATATGGTGAAGCCACCAAGTCCTCAACACTGAAATCAGGCATGACCACTTTTGACAGGTAAATCTGAGAGGAAGGAGTTTGGCACCACTCCCAGACTTGTGTCTGCCCAAGTGCCAGTGTCTGGAGGGCCCCAAGCTTTGAGACAGTGATGCAAACATTGTAAGAGAACCAGCCACCGCTTACTGGAAATCTGCTCGCTTCACACTTCCTACACCCTGTGAGCTAGCGTTCATTAACCCCATTAGCTCAAATCATTTAGGTAACTTGCTCAAAGTCTCTCCAAATTAGTGGGAGACTTCCTACTAATAAAAGCAGGTGTCTTTTATTCCATAGTGCTTGGTCCGTAGGGGTTCTGCACATGTGCCTCTGTCTCTAGTGTTTGGTACAGTCCTGAGCCTCAGTCCAGAAGAGCAGCTAACAGTCCAAGAGATATTGTGTGAATTCAGATTGATTCACGCTTGGTGAGTTCCTGGCAGGAAGCACTGTCTGTTCTGGGCCCCTGCCTTTCTGAGTGGGCACCAGCTGCCTCCCAGGTCTGTGACCTCCTCCAGAACCTGCCAAAATGACCAGGAAAATGCCATTTCCAGAGCCAAAAGAGAATGCAGTGGCCCCTGTACTCCAGATCTTCAGATGGGTGAATGACCCATGCTTTCAATTCAAGAAACATGTTTACTTCATTTCTTGAAACCTGGGTGTGGCCTTTCTAGGTGACATAAGAACCCTTTGAGCTGTTTTGAGCCCTTTCAGATCCCAAGGCGTCAAGTGGGCCCCGTCATCCATCAGCATATGATCCCAAGCTGGGGGCTCCCCTGAAGGTGAGACCAGAGCAGCTGTGTGGGAGAGTTGCCTTCCTTCCCAGGCTCACAGTCTCCCTCTCTCAGATCTAGTCACATCACCCGTCTCAGGCCTGTGACACTACTGGCTATCGGGGGAGACCGAGAGCACCTTAGGCAAAGCCAGAGCAAAGCCAGGCTACAGGCTTGACCACAAGTGATGCTATGTACAGTCAGAGTTCAGAGACCAAAAAGAAGAGGCCCAAGAGGGGGTGGGCCTCTCTGCCTTACCTGGAGAGCTTTATTCCAAGATAGCTGCCCCTCATCCACCCCAGGCTGTCCCCTTGGCTCAGGGCCTTTCTAAAATTGAGGCAAAGGGCCAGGCACAGTGGCTCATGCACTTTGGGAGACCAAGGGGATTGCTTGAACCCAGGAGTTCAAGACTAGCCTAGGCAACATGGTGAGACCGCATCTCTCCAAATATCAAAAAATTAGCAGGTGTGGTGGCACACGCCTATAGTCCCAGCTATTCAGAAGGCTGAGACAGAAGGATCGCCTGAGCTAAGGAGGTCTGGGCTGTTATGAGCTGTGATAATGCCACTGCACTCCAACCTGAGCATCAGAGAGAGAGCCTAACTCAAGAGAGACAGAGAGAGAGAGAGAGAAGAAAAAGAAAAGAAGTAAAACTGAGGTAAAGCACCTGGTGACAATAAGAGCTCTTTTGAGGTTCCCTGATACATGATCCCTGACTGTGAATCAGCTAGTTGCCTTCTTATTAATGTTGTGGATCACACTAACAGATTTTCTGTTGTTGCACCATCCTGGGACAAGCCTGAATTGCCTGCGATAAAAAACAAAAAACAACTTTAGCATACTGTTGGATTCAGTTTGCTAGTTCTGCTTGGGATGTTCACATTTATGTTCAGAAGTGAGGTTTCTTCAGATTTTTCTTTTCTTGTACTCTTCCTATCTAGTTTTAAGATTCAAGATTCTACTCACTTCATAAAACAAGTTTGCTAGCTTTCCTCCCTCTTTCCCCCCTTTTTAATTCTTTGACAGTGGAATGGGACTTGGGATTTTATAAAAACACACCCCCAGAGTCTGCCTGCTCTGCAGGGGACTTGGCACAGAAGAGAAGACAGACACCTCTTTCCCCTGTTTATAGTCTGCGTTGGCTTATTTATGGTGCTTTTGTTGTTTCTGGGACTGTTCTGCTGGGAGCCAGCCATTTCCCTGAGGAAGTAGGGATGGGGGTGGAGGGAAGCCCTAGCCAGGGGACAGGGGAGCAGTACTGGGGGAGGGGAGGGGAGCGAGCCCGAGCCTGGCTCCCCAGCACCCACTGTAGGCACTCCCCCCTCCCCCGCCGTGTTTTCCTGAACCCCAGCTCAGCTTGACCCTCCCCTGCAGGCACCATGTTCCGCAAGAAAAAGAAGAAACGCCCTGAGATCTCAGCCCCACAGAACTTTCAACACCGTGTCCACACCTCCTTTGACCCCAAAGAAGGCAAGTTCGTGGGCCTCCCCCCACAATGGCAGAACATCCTGGACACGTTAAGGCGCCCCAAGCCTGTGGTGGACCCTTCGCGCATTACGCGAGTGCAGCTCCAGCCCATGAAGGTAAGAGAGGAAGTCAGGGATGGCTGGCTGAGCTCAGCCTCCCCTACTCCACAGAAAACCATACCTGGCTAAGCCCAAAGGCCCCGGGGGGAACCACCTAGTTATTAGCTATCGATTAGTCGGTGTTTTAATTCTGTGCTAGGCAGTCTCTCATTCTCTCCCTGTGTCACCCAGGGAGGAAGAGCTTGGGGAGCTCCTCTGCAGGGTAGCAAAGTTGCCAGATTTAGCAAATCAAAATACAAGATGTCCAATTAAATTTAAATTTCTTTTTTTTTTTTTTGAGTGGGAATCTCATTTTGTCATCCAGACTGGAGTGCAGTGGCACACTCATGGCCACTGCAGCCTTGGCATACTGGGCTCAGGTGATTCTTCCACCTCAGTTTTCCAAATAGCCGGAGCTATGGGCCCGCACTACCACACCCGGAAATTTTTTAATTTATTGTAGAGATAAGTCTCACCAAGTTGCCCAGGCTGTTCTCAAACCCGTGGGCTCAGGCAATCCCCTCGTCTCCGCCTTCCAAAGTGCTGGGATTACAGGTCTGGACCAGCGCATCCAGCTTAAATTTGAATTTCAGATAAGAATGAATAGTATTTTGGTATATATTCGTACACTATTTGGATCCACAGCCCCAAAGGGAGAACTTAATTGGATGAGTCAAGATGGATAGAACTTAGTTGGGTGAGTCAGACAGGGAGAACTTGGGTGAGTCAAGACGCGAGAGCCTGGTAGGAGTTGGGGTCAGGGGTCAAGTTGGGGTTTGGAGGCCATGAAGTCAGTGTGTATGTGGAGGGGACCCCTGGCCTGGCCTCTGCCTCTGTAGAGAGCTCTGCACATCTCCCCCAGGGCCACAGATGGACTAGAGAATGGAGCTCCTCTGCCCAGTGCTCCACAGCTCCTAGGCCCAGCTGACCACACTACTTGGGCAGGATGACGGGAACCCCATGGCACTCACTGCTTCCCTGTACCCTGTATCAGCACATGCCCGACCTACTGTGGGCCCTGATAAATGGCTAAAAAATTAACAAACGGGTGGATGATACAACAAGGGAGGGCCTTAGGTGTTCCTCGCCCCCGGGGATGCACTCTGACCTGATCTCCTGGCCTCTCAGCCCTGCCACCATCAGAGAGCTCACCCATAATCCTTTCTCTTCCCCCTACAGACGGTGGTGCGGGGCAGCTCCGGGCCTGTGGACGGTTACATCTCGGGGCTGCTCAACGACATCCAGAAGCTGTCGGTCATCAGCTCCAACACCCTGCGTGGCCGCAGCCCCACCAGCCGACGGCGGGCACAGTCTCTGGGGCTGCTGGGGGATGAGCACTGGGCCACTGACCCAGACATGTACCTCCAGAGCCCCCAGTCTGAGCGCACTGACCCCCACAGCCTCTACCTCAGCTGCAATGGGGGCACACCAGCAGGCCACAAGCAGATGCCATGGCCCGAGCCACAGAGCCCACAGGTCCTGCCCAATGGGCTGGCCACGAAGGCACAGTCCCTGGGCCCTGCCGAGTTCCAGGGTGCTTCTCAGCGCTGCCTGCAGCTGGGTACCTGCCTGCAGAGTTCCCCCCCAGGCACCTCACCCCCTACAGCCACCGGCAGACGTGGGATGAAGGCTGCCAAGCATGGCTCTGAGGAGGCCCGGCCACAGTCCTGCCTGGTGGGCTCGGCCACAGGCAGGCCCTCTGGGGAAGGCAACCCTAGCCCAAAGACCCAGGAGAGCAGCCTGAAGCGCAGGCTTTTCCGAAGCATGTTCCTGTCCACTCCTGCCACGGCGCCTCCAAGTGGCAGCAAGCCAGGCCCTCCACTACAGAGCAAGGTAGGTCGGGTTGGGGCTTCCCTCTAGGGCCACTCCCAGGAGGACAGGGAGCAGGCGTCCACTGGGGAATGGGTGTAGGGACCCATGCCCTGCCTGGCCTTACCCACCAAGGACCTACAGAGAGGCTCCCTGGACCGCTTCTCCCTAAGACGGCAGAAATGTGCATGGAACCCCCTTCTCAGTGAGGCTGGCTTCCTCCTCCCTCCCTCCTTCCTTCCTTTCTCTCCTTTTCTTTGTGGTCATTGTTTTGTTTCACATTTCTGTTATTATTTGTTCCTGAGTGTGTGGCCAGATGAAAAACTGGAGGATTGAATTTTGCCTGGTCTGGGAGCAGCAGGAGAGCTGACTTGTGGCATGTGGGATGGCCTCTAATGCACAATTTTCTTGTGAGAAAGGAAAGTGTGAAGGGAGCCCCAGTGGTGACATTTTTTGGCAGGCAGATTTTAGCATGTTTCTGCTTCTTATTGGCCCTATGGCATGCTATTGGTAGTGACCATAAACTCCTCTCCCATTCGGCAGATAAGAAGACTGAGTTAGAGAGGGTGAGACAGCCCCAGGCATGGAGAGTGAGTCAGAGAAGGAAGGTGGGAGTGGGTGCTTGCTGGAACTGCCCGTCCGTCCCAGGCCTTAGTGGTGTGGCTCTTGTTATGAAAGCATTATAACCAGGGCAGCCACTTGCTCCTTCAGAGGAGGTCTTTAAGGCAGGCCTAAGAAACAGCTGGGACAGTAGCATGAGTAATGAAGCCTCCTCTCCTCCCCAGGACCCAAGCCTGGGTTTTCCTCTTTCGGTGACAGGGTGGCTGTCATCCAGCTGAACCAGGGATGGGGGTATAGGGGATGTCCTAGACTTACAACCTTTCTAGGTCCTGCCAGCTGAGGCACCCAGGGAAGGTTCTGGGCTTTGCACACACCAAGCCCCCATTAGGACCAAGGACAGTGGGCTGGGATCCCCCATGGGGTGTGACTTGATGTGTCTGTGTGAGGACCATGAGTGTCTGTGAGCTGACAGGTCTCTGGAAAGCTGTGCATCTAGGGAGACACCCCCAGGAAGCTAAGGTGGGAGCAGGGCAGTGCACACGGCTAGGAGGTAAGACTCGGAGCTTGCTCCCCCCACTGCCTCTTGGGAATCCTGCTGGGTGGGCTTCAGGAATTGGGAAAAAGGGGGTCTCGACACTGGGCTGGGCACTGACATGTATCTTTCTGGGTTCCTGGCAACATCCCACAGCAGGGGATAGGTCTGTTATCCCCACACAGTTTACTGAGTACCCACCATAGGGCACTGCTGCTGGGTATGCTGGGATGTCTCTCATATCTTTGGAAGCAGGTAGTAGTCATCTTGGGTTCAGAGATATCACATTTCAAATCCAGGGGAGTAGATTCCTCCTAGGTACCTTGGGCATAACTGTCTAGATGTATACTCTCATGCTGGGCCTCTTAAAGGCAGAGCTGAGACCCTCTGGTCTGCCCTAGGCCAGGGCTTCTCAACTTCTGCTCAGTTGACATTCAGATCTATTGTAGAGATGAGGTCTTGCCAAGTTGCACGGGTGGGTTTCGAACCCATGGGTTCAAGCAATCCACTCACCTGCCAAAGTGCTGGGATTACAGGCTGAGCCACCAGACATTTGGATCAATAGTCCTTTGCTGTGGGGCTCTCCTGTGCATTGTGGTAGCATCCCTGGCCTCCATCTGCTAGATGCTAGTAGGCACCCAGGGAAGGTTCTGGGCTTTACAGAGCTGTTTTTGGTTGGGACAACTGAAAAGGCCTCCAGACATTGCCAAATGTCTCTGAAGCACCCTCATTGAGAACTGCTGCTTTAAGCAAATCCCAACACAGGTGGGGAGATGAGGCTTCCTCCTCCTCCACCTACCCCAGGAGCCCCCACACTAAGCCGGCAGCCACCCTTACTGGGTACATCCCAGAGGTTGAGCCCTGAGCGCTCAGGCCACTAAGGCCACATTATGCCAAGCATGGCTGTGGGAGGGTCTGAGTACAGACCCCAAGGCTCCTGTGCCCAGCCCCAGGCAGCATGGCTTGGGGTCACTGTGGCTAAAGAGCACAGGAAGACCAGGAGTGGGGCCAAGGAGGCCAAAGAGGCAAGACATTTGGTTAGGAGCTTTGGGGGGTGAGAAGTGTTCCATCGGGCATGATGGCTCATGCCTGTAATTCCAGCACTTTGGGAGGTGGAGGCGAGAGAATTGCCTGAGCCCAGGGGTTCGAGACCAGCCTGAGCAACTTGGCAAGAACCCGTCACTACAATAAATCAAAAAATGAGCCAGGTGTGGTGGCGTGCACCTCCAGTTCCAGCTACTTGAAAGGCTGACGCAGAAGGACCACCTGAGCCCAGCAGGTGGAAGCTGTGGTAGCAGTGATCGTGCCACTACACTCCAGCCTGGGTGACAAAGTGAGACTTTGAACTTAAAAAAAAAAAAAAGAGAGAGCTGGGTGCAGTGGCTCACACCTGTAATCCCAACACTTTGGGAATCTGAGGTGAGAGGATTGCCTGAGCCCACAGATTCGAGACCAGCCTGGGCAACTTGGCGAGACCTCATCTCTACAATAAATTTAAAAATTAGCCAGGCACGGTGACTTATGCCTGTAGTTCTAGCTACTTGAAAGGCTGAGGTGGAAGGATCACCTGAGCCCAGCAGGTCGAGGTTGCGGTGGCTGTGAGTGTGCCACTGCACTCCAGCCTGGGTGATAGAGTGAGACTCCAACTCAAAAAAAAAACAACAGTGTTCCACTTAGAATCAGAAGGGCAAGCATCGATTAAGCACCTATTGTGTACCATGTACTCCATTATATGCCAAGGGACCACACCATAGGGGTGGTTGGTCACAGGCACCTCATGGGTTGCAGTACCCATGGGATAAGAAGACAACCCACGGAGTTATGAGAATTAAATGAGATCACGTATTGAAGGGACTTATCAAAGTGATAAGCCCTCCACAAGTGGCTTTATTTCTAAAAAATATTTTGTCATGGTCTCTCCCTTTAGAACACTTATGGTATAGCCCCCTAAGCTCACAGCGGGAGAGCTGTGGCCCAGGGAGGGAAAATGAGGCATCAGTGTAACTGTATGCATGACTCTTCTAGTGGCTTCCTTCCCAGGAGGTCTCAGTCACACAAGTGATTCCAGAATTCATCCAGAGCCCATAATAATTAATTAACTCCACAGCTGTGTCCCCCTCTCCCTCTCTTGCATGGCTTAACACGTTTCAAGTCCTTGCTTGTGGTTACATTGAGTAACAGCTCCCTCTTTGTGGAGACAGGCAGCAAGACTGATGAAGATCAAGCCAGCTCCCCCAAGCGTATGTCCCACACGTCGCTGGTGCTGGGGTCCTGACTGGACCCACCCCTCCTCCAGCCCGACACAGGCTCCATCCCTGAGCTCAGCCAGCACCTGCAGCAGCATTACCACAGGGACCTCATCAGTGAAGAGAGGGAGGGAACCCCCAACATCAGCCCCTCCACTCCCACGCATTCACAGAGCAGAGATAGCCCATGTAGAAGTCCTGGAGGCCAAAAGGCGAAGGAGATCCTGGCTGGGCTTGGTGGCTCACACCTGAACTCCCAGCTGAGGCTGAGGCGGGAAATTGCTTGAAACCAGGAGTTCGAGACCAGCCTGGGCAACACAGGGAGACCTCGCCTCAGCAACAACAACAACAACAACAACAAATTTGCCATGCGTGGTGGCATGTACCTGTAGTCCCAGCTACTCGTGAGGCTGAGGTGGGAGGATCCCTTAAGCCCAGGAGGTCGAGGCTGCGGTGAGCTGTGATCATGCCACTGCACTCCAGCCTGGGACAGAGTGAGACCTTCACTCAAAAAACAAAAATGAAAAACAGGAGCTCCTTATACAGCCTTCCTTAGGAACTTCTGGGTGAAGACAGGTCAAGGGGCCATAGAACAACATCAAGAGAAACTTTATGTGGTCCCCAAGCTTGGCTCCACACTACACGGATGGGTGCTCGGAGAGCATGTTTTCTCAGTTTCTCACAGGCCAGCAGGCAGTCTCCTCAGATCCCTGGGTTTTTTTTACAGGGCCTTGGGGGCTGATGGGGTGATTGTATGCTACAGTGAGCACTGCCCCACCTCCCTTCAGTCTCTGCCTAGTGACAGTCCCTGCCTGTGATATCTCATGAAGTCTCTGCTCCCAGGACCTGGCACAGCCTCAGTAATGGCCATGTTCCCTCCACCCCTGTCACAGCCCTCCTAGAGGCTCCCTGAGGCCATGGAATCACATGGTTCATTCATCTAGAGCTTCTCAAAGTATGTTCCGTGGACCTTCCACATCCAAGCCCAGGAACCTTGTTAAAATGCAGTCTGTACCCTAGGGACCCACTGAATCTGTCTCCGAGCTGGAAGTCTGCAGTTTATCTAGTTCCCCAGATCACAGCGCACGGCCCCTACATTTGTGGAGAAGACTGGGGCTCAGAGAGGGTGGTTTGCCTAAGACTCATCACAGGCAGAGCAGACCAGGACCGAACCCCTGGTCCCACTGCCCCACTGTACGGAAGAGGGCACAGACAGTGAAAGTGAAGGTCAAGTGCTGGCAAAGACATGGGAGAATCTATTTACCGTTCGAATATGCTCACCAGGGATGGAGTAATTCCAAGCAATCCCAGGAAGCTTTCTGGCTCCTTTCCTGCAAAGGTCGAGCCTGAGCCAGGCACAGGCTGCCAGAGGCTGGCACACACTAGGGTGTGGGGGTGGCAGAAGTCGGCCATGGCATGGCTCTCAGCTGACAGGGGCTCCTCCTTAGAGAGGCCAGGGACTGGGTTGGGGAGTGGGAGCCCTGAAGCCGGGGCTGGGGTGGTAGTCCATAGGGGAGGGGTGGGGGAAGGTTGAAAAAGACTCTGGTTGAACCTGGTAGGGTCTGAGCTCCAGATCTGGGGTCCCTGAGCGAGAGCCCACCACAAGCTCACTGGTTGAGGAGATTTCCTGTAAGTCAGTTCAGCTCTGGGATTAGAACCAGGACCACTGGGCACCTAGATAACCACCTCTGCAATGACTTTGAAGTTCCAAGAAGGCCTCTCTGCAGCCTCTAAAGTGTCTCCCTCCAGGTGCTCTTTAAAACACATAGTCGGCCGGGCTGGGTGGCTCAGCCTGTAATCGCAGTACTTTGGGAGGCTGAGGCAAGTGGATTGCCGGAGCCCATGGGTTCGAGACCCTCCCGGACAACTTGGCAAGACCTCGTCCCTACAATAAATAAAAAATGAGCCGGGTATGGTAGCACACACCTATAGTGCCAGCTACTTGGAAGGTTGAGGTGGAAGGATCACTGGAGCCCAGCAGGTCGAGGCTGCGGTGGCCGGGAGCATGCCACTGCACTCCAGTCTAGGCGACAGAGTGAGACTCCAACTCAAAAAAACAAACAACAAAAAAACACACAGTCCTTGGGAGGGGTCCTGTTGCAGCTCCTTGGAGAGAACTAAAGGATGCCCCCTTCCTGCCAGGGATAGCAGCAGGGCTTGGCCCTGGAAAGGCAGAGAAACCCCTCACAGGCTCCAGAGCTAGGCTGGAGCTGTGCTCACTGGGGGCCTGGACTGCCCCTCAGCTCCACCTTCCCTTCTTTCCCACTAGAGGCCATGAAGATAAGCTCCTTGCCTTCTCTTCCCTTCTGGGGGGTCCTTAGCCAGGAGTTTCATGCCTGGGAGGAAGTGGAGGGGCTGCTCTGGGAAGTCCTTAAGAGACTTCCCCAATCCCAACCTCAAGGCTTGGGTTTGGCTGGACCTACCCTGATTCCAGATCTCTCTGGCCTCAGATCCCCAGCCCATGGGGGACACCTGAGAAACCCCCACATGGTAACAAAGCTCTGCGGTCCTCTGTCGGGGACATAACCTCCCAGCACAGACACGCAGACTCCCTACTGCAGTCAGGGCCATCAGACCCCAGCTGTGGCCTCCCTGCCTGGTCCTGAGAGTCGAGTCACCGCTGCCCACTGCTCCCCATCTCACTACCAGGGGCCTCTTCCACCACGTGGGCTTTAGGGTAGGGGAGCCTTGGGAGTGAAGAACGCCTCTGACCCAGATTCTCTGAGCAGCCCCTCCACACAGAGGGAAGATTCTGCCTCACGGTGGCCTCCCTGGGGTCTAGCTGTCAATTACCCAGGAAGAAATACCCAGCACCGGACCCCACGGGGACTTGGCTGTCTTTGTCTTCTTAGGCACAGTGGAGTGGATGTAAAGAGCCGCTGCTGGCCTGCTCACCTTGGAGTGCTGGGGGCTGGCATCTCGAGCAGGCCTGGGGCTGGGCTTCAGCTCTTTGAAAATCTTTACTCACAGCACCTCCCCAGTTTGGTCTGATGCCCTGTCTGACCCTACCAGAGTCCCGAGGTCACAGCAGCCACCCCCTGCATCTAGGAAGGTTGCTCCAAATGCTGCCGCAATCATGCCCCTTCCTGTTTCTTTTTTTGTCCCTGCAGCCCAGCTCATCCTTCCGACCGCTGCAGAAAGACTCCCCAACAAGCCTGGTGGCCAAGGCCCAGTCCTTGCCCTCCGACCAGCCAGCGGGGACCTTCGGCCCTCTGACCACTTCGGATACCAGCAGCCCCCAGAAGTCCCTCCGTACTGCCCCGGCCGCAGGCCCGCTTCCAGGCCGGTCTTCCCCGGCCGGCTCCCCCCGTACCCGGCACGCCCAGATCAGCACCAGCAATCTGTACCTGCCCCAGGACCCCACGGTGGCCAAGGGTGCCCTGGCTGGCGAGGACACGGGTGTTGTGACGCATGAGCAGTTCAAAGCTGCACTCAGGATGGTGGTGGACCAGGGTGATCCCCGGCTGCTGCTGGACAGCTACGTGAAGATTGGCGAGGGCTCCACGGGCATCGTCTGCCTGGCCCGGGAGAAGCACTCAGGCCGCCAGGTGGCCGTCAAGATGATGGACCTCAGGAAGCAGCAGCGCAGGGAGCTGCTCTTTAACGAGGTGGGAGGACAGGAGGGACATGGGCGGGGGCGAGGAATGGGCATGTGTGAGCAGGGGCAGTGGGTGGCCTAGCCTTGCGGGCGCTGTGCCTGGCACTCAGGCCCCCACCTGCCCCCAGGTGGTGATCATGCGAGACTACCAACACTTCAACGTGGTGGAGATGTACAAGAGCTACCTGGTAGGCGAGGAGCTGTGGGTGCTCATGGAATTCCTGCAGGGCGGGGCCCTCACAGACATTGTCTCCCAAGTCAGGTGAGCATCTGGGAAGGCTGGGCCCTAAGTGCAGGCTGCCTCCCATCGCCTCTTCTGCCTGTGGCCCAGAAGGGCTGGGGTGCCTGTCAGATTGTCCTGGGCCCTCTGCCTGTCTGGGGTAACTGGAACCCAGGGGTCTTGGGAGTGGGGAAGAGAAGGGTGGACTCCAGGCTAGGCTCAGGCCCGTTTTCACCAGGACTACGGCCCCACCGGGCTGCCAAACAGACTGCTTGGGAGCCGTGGGGGCCTGCTACCGGGGACTTATACTCCACCCAGTCCAGACACCTGCAGCCCTGCCAAAGCTAACATTCTCTTCTGTTGCATGGCCCGCCTTCCCTGTCTAGGCTGAACGAGGAGCAGATCGCCACTGTGTGTGAGTCTGTGCTGCAGGCCCTGGCTTACCTGCATGCCCAGGGTGTCATCCACCGGGACATCAAAAGCGACTCCATCCTGCTGACACTTGATGGCAGGGTATGCCCCTCTCTATCCCTGGCACAGCCACGTCCACCTAATTCCCTGCTCCTAGCATCCCTCCTCCTGATCCACCATTCACTCCCCTTTCAACCCTAGGTGAAGCTCTCCGACTTTGGATTCTGTGCTCAGATCAGCAAAGACGTCCCTAAGAGGAAGTCCCTGGTGGGAACTCCCTACTGGATGGCTCCTGAAGTGATCTCCAGGTCTTTGTATGCCACTGAGGTAACCATTCCCTCCATCCCCCAGGGGCTTCCCAAAGGTGGCTTGGGGACACGAAGCTCTTCATGTGACCCCCTGTGGAGCCCTCACCAAAAATAGCCCTGGTCCTCAGACTCCTACTTAGTCAGTACCCTTCCCCCTTTTTGATAGGGCTGCTCTCATCTGTGACATTGCTGCCAAAAACACATCCTGCAAGTGCTCCCCCCAGCTTAGGGCAAGATGGAGTGTGGCCAGGCCTCCCCATGTATGATGGCCTTTCTCAGAGGGTGGCTGACAGCTGTGTCCCTACAGGCAGTGGTCACTCATGAGGGAAGTACCTGACCGCAGGGTAGGTGACCAGGGGAGGGAGGAGACAGACTCAGCAAGGGGAAGCTGGGACCAGCTGCTCCCCTCCCCCTCCAGCACGCTACTACCCAGGGGCCTGACTCTGGCAATCATGGTCGGGGACATTCTCCTCCTGCAGGTGGATATCTGGTCTCTGGGCATCATGGTGATTGAGATGGTGGATGGGGAGCCGCCTTACTTCAGTGACTCCCCAGTGCAAGCCATGAAGAGGCTCCGGGACAGTCCCCCACCCAAGCTGAGAAACTCTCACAAGGTCAGTTGCTGCATGGGGCTGCATGCTGCCTTCCAAGTAGCTGGAACTACAGGCACACACCACCACAGGCTCCATTCTTCCTGGGACGAGAGCACCAGAAGCTGGGTATGAGCTGGGTATGAGCTCCTTGGAAAGACTCCTCTCTCGCCACACAAAATCTGCGCTGGGTGTGGGGCTGCATCTGTACCCAAACTCTCATGCTCACGCCAACAAGTCTGCACCTGCAGCTGCAGCAGTAGACTCGCTCCTCAGCAGGCGCTTGACAGGAGCTCCGCGACACCTATGAGCAGGGAAAGCAAGGACAGCAGCAATCTCTGCTGTCCAGGGAAGCTTAATTTTTTTTTTTTTTTTTTGAGTCAGAGTCTCACTGTTGCCCAGGCTGGAGTGCAGTGGCACACTCATAGCCACTGCAACCTTAACCTGCTGGGCTCATGTGATCCTTCTGCCTCAGCCTTCCAAGTAACTGGAACTACAGGCACACACCACCACGTCCAGTCAATTTTTTGATTTATTGTAGAGATGAGGTCTCGCCAAGTTGCCCAGGCAGGTCTCGAACCCTGGGCTCAGGCAGTCCTCTTACTTCTGCCTCCCAAAGTGCTGGGATTACAGACGTGAGCCACTGCACCCAACTGGAGGATGCTTAATTGAACACAAACTCTCTGCCCCACTGGTCAGGAGATCCATGCCACGACACAGTGTTTCCCGGCTGTCAGAATGAATGGCTTGTCCTCCACCGTTGCACATCCTGACCACCATGAGCCCATCTTTCCCCTTAAAACCAGTATAGATGGATAGATGGATAGATGTGTGTATATTGAACCCTTTTCTGCAAACTCCACTCCAAACCCACAGGCCTTACCAGTGGGCACCCCCTGCTGGCAGGTGAGCACAGGGCTGCAAAGTGGCACTGCCATCTGGTGGCCAGAACAAGAAATGTCCCAGAGGGTTGACGCCCAGTCTCAACGTAGCAAAATAGTTCTGTGGCCCCAGCACACAGCTGGATGGGAGGACCAATAGGAAACGCCTTTCAAGACCACTGGTCCTTGGAGCCTGCACTGCCCACCCCAAGATTAGCAGATGGAGACTTCCAACTGGTGAATTCCCCAGAGTCTTGCCCAAGACAGCCTCTTCCCAAGATATTGGCTCAACATGTACCAAGATAAGCCCTTGCCATAGACTTCAAGGCTGAGAGCAACAAAGAAATCTTCCTTTTCAGGGCTCACCTTGTTCTTTTCTATATTTCAAAGCACTTCCTCATCCCTGACCTCTTTTTTTAATTTTCACTAACACCCTGTGTGGCAAACAGGACATGCATACTTTATCATTAGCCATTTTGCAGATGAGAAAACTGAAGCCTAGAGAAAATTGTAACTTGCCTGGATCCTATCCTCAGGATCTATCCTTAGTGATGGACCCAGGCCTGGACCACTGATGCCAGTTCCATACCCCTTCCATAGAGCTGCAGAGCCCGAGTGCTGAACGCCTTGAGAAGGGCTAGATGGTGAGGGCTAGGGGACCCAGGAGGGCCAGGAAGTAAGAAACCAGAAAGTTCAAGACTTGCAAATGATGGCAGGACCGGGCAGTCAGGTCACCCCAAAGTGACTGCAAAGCGTGGTTTCCTCTCACTGCCCTGTCTCCACAGGTCTCACCAGTGCTGCGAGACTTCCTGGAACGGATGCTGGTGCGGGACCCCCAAGAGAGAGCCACAGCCCAGGAGCTCCTGGACCACCCCTTCCTGCTGCAGACGGGGCTGCCCGAGTGCCTGGTGCCCCTGATCCAGCTCTACCGCAAGCAGACCTCCACCTGCTGAGCCCACACCCTGAGTGCACCTGCCACCTGTGCCCACAGGCGGGGGACACTGGGCAGCCAGCCTGCTGGCAGGGCTTGCCTGCCTCATTCTCTCAGTATTCTCTCCAAAGATTGAATGTGAAGCCCCACCCCCACCCTCCTGCCCCTCAGCCTGCTGGGCCAGGCCGGACCTGCCCCCTCCGTCTTTCTCCCTCCGCAGTCCCCAGTTGCCTCTGGGATGAGGGAGACTTCTTCTACAGGATGACCCTTTGTCATTTGCACAGGGATATTTCTAAGAAATGCGGAGACCAGCGCTCCTGGCCACTGCGGCCAACACAGCAGAAGAGGCTGCTGTGGTTTTTTAAAGGTAGTTGTACACTAGCATCCCAGGCCACCAGAGAGGGCAGACTGCCTGTCTTCACACAGATACTTGCTGTTCTCAGCTCCGGCTTCCAACCTTGGGGGTCTCAAGAGGGCCCAGGGAAGGGTTTTATTACCTGAGACCCTCCTCTTCCTTTGTGTCTGACATCCTGAAGACACGGGCCCACCACACCTGCTTCCCGACCCGCTCTGCCTCCCTTACAACCTGCTCAGAACTGTAAATGGCCGGCCGTGGCCGCGGGAGGGGCGATGGGGCATTTTCTGAGTCAAAGAGAAAGAATGGAGTTGGTGGTACAAGTGGTCGCGCTTCACAGGATGGAGAGAACACCGTGTGTGTGTGTGTGTCTGTGTGTGTGTGTGTAAGGGGAGGAAGGTCACCCAACAGCCCGGGTCCCTTCAGGTCACCCACAGCCAGCTTCAGGAAGGCCACCCCACTGTCTGTCCCACTAAGTTCTGGCCTAAAAGGGCCTGCTTTCTTGGCCTGGATTCCCACCTCTCAAGTCCCATGTTTCTACCCTACCCGTGAAGAGGGCTGTATTGAGTCTAACACATCCTGGGAGCTCGGGAGGCTTCTGAGTTCCTCCTGTACTGTCGAGTGTGAGGGCCAGAGATAGAAGCCCTAAGAGAATATAAACTCTGTCAATTTTGTCTCAATAACCAGGTCATCAGGGACCCATTCTTCTCTTCAGAACCCTGCTGGGGGAGAAGGTGATCACCTCCTGGGGTTCTATCATATCAAGGGCATGGTCACCCCATTTGTGCGAACCATCTGCCCTAGCTGCCTCCGCAGACACCTGTCTCCTTGTCCTACTTCCCTCCTCGCCTTCAGGGCTGCTGTGAAACAGGGAATTCCAGGGAAGAACTTCAGGTGTCTGGACCCTATCTAGATAATATTTTTAGATTCCTCTGCTCCCTAGTGGCCTGCTTTGGGGCAAAGAAATTGCAAGGACTTTTTTTTAAGGGTCAGAGTTTTCAAAACAAAAGCATCTTCCCTAGAAACTTTTGTGAATTGTTTGCACTTGTGCCTGTTTTAAATTAAACTGAGTGTTCAAAACCTCTGGGCTTCCTGTCATCTCTGAGTGGAGCCAGGCTGTCTTCAAGCTGTCGTGGGTGTCTGGTGTGGCCCTCCCTTCTCCCCCACGTGACTCTGCAGTGGTGCCTCTGGTCCACAGAACACCCAACTTCCCTGATGGAATGGGGCCCAAAATGAGGGCAGAGGAGGAGGGAAACAGGAAATGAAAGGCCCTTGGGACTGAAGGAGATGAGAAATAAGGCTCCTTCCCAGGGAAAGAGGGAAAGAGCCAGCCCAGAAAGCTAGGGTCGTGTGCTGCAGTTGCTGGGGGTGGGCACAGTGGCTGACGGCCATGCTTTGGATCAGCGGCTCCCTGCCCCTGCTTGCTTCTCACTCCCTGGACTTCATGCTGTCCACAGGAAGTGGTCTGATGCTGCCTCCAGAACTGAGGGAGACAGTGTGGAGCTGGGAAAGAACAGAGTAGCACCTGGAAACTGAGAAGCTCCCTGGGGGTGGGGAGGTGGAAGGAATTATCTTCCAACTTCTAGCTCCAACACGGATGCCAGCACTTCCTTTCTGAGACCTAGCCCAGGGTTCACTTAAACCTTATAGCCAGCAGCGGGAGCCACACAGACAGGTGTCCTGGTCCTACAGCCCCGGCCCCACAAGCTCAGTGGGAAGCAGTACCTGTGACCTACCCTCAGGAGCCAGCCCTAGTAGGATGGGCAGGGATGGTGGCTAAGGCGGGAACAGTCACAGGAAGAGAGTGCACCCTTCCGTTGCTCCAAAGGGGGCCAAGAGTCAGGAGTGGACAGCAAGGCAAAAAGAGGCCCATTCTCGCAACAGATTAATACTGGATTTATTAACTATTCCTTTGAGTTGTAGTAGTCCTTCCACCACACAGTATCACTCCACAAGGGTGTGCGTATGTATGTCCTTTAGCTTCACACACAGACCTGTTCTGAACTTGATCTTAGAGTACTGAGCTCCAGCGGCCTGGGTGACTCTTCACAATGACGGAAGCAACAGGAATTGGAAAAGCAAAATACTTAGAAGAGTCTCTTCTAAAGTGGAGAGAGCTGGAGAGAAACCCAGCCTCAACGCCCTGGGGCTGACGAAGAGAGGAAGTTCAGAGGAGCGGAGTGTGGTGAAAGGTGGAAGTTCTGCACAGAGCAGGCCTGGTGAGGCGTCTGGAAGGACAGCAAGGTAGTCAGACACATGGTTCCGTTCAGACAGGAAAGATCTGCTGCAGTGTTTCAGAAACACCTCTTTCTACCACAAAGCTCTGGACAACTCCACAGAGAGAAGCCCTCGTGGTTGCTTACTGGATAAAGAGGGCCCAGGCGACAATCAACCAGGAAGAGACACTGTCAACGTCAGAGACATTGGAAAGATTACAGCGCCACTGATACAATGTGCAACCCAGGCCTCATGCTGTTTTTAAGCCAACATACTTTTTTCCTACACCACTTATAACTTCATTAAAAATTAAACACAGTTGAAAAGGGAGGAAATGGGCAAGCAAGGATCAGAAAGAAAGCAGTTTGCACTTGGGACATCCAATGATTCCTCCACCCCACCCCAGACTCTCTCCCTCAGACCTTTTAGGCACTTGGTATTGTGCGCCCACCACCCAGACAGGGGACTGAGGGGAGGCGGAGGTTTTGGGAGAAGAGGGTAAGGGAAGGGGCAGAACTCCTCAGAAATGAAAGCAAATATCAGAAGAAAACTGCATAATCGGTAGGTCCCAAGGTTCAGAGATTCTAAAGGAAGGACTAGCAGCTCAAGTGTTTTGAAGAGAGCAGTAGCTCTCAGGACAGGGAGCCTTAACTTGGAAGATTAATTTGAGGTCTTTATTTTTTTTATTATTTATTTATTTATTTATTTTAGTTGGAGTCTCACTCTGTCACCCAGACTAGAGTGCCATGGCCGCTCCCGGCCACCGCAGCCTCGACCTGAAGGGCTCCGGCGATCCTTCCGCCTCAGCCTTCCGAGTAGCCGGAATTACAGGCATGCGCTACCACGCCCGGCTGATTTTTTGATTTATTGTAGAGATGAGGTCTCGCTGCCCAGGCGGGTCTCGAACCCGCGGACTCATGCAATCCACTCACCTCAGCCTCCCAAAGGCGCGGGATTACAGGCTGAGCCACCGAGCCCGGCTTTGCCAGAAATATTTTAACAACTCTAAGACATAGCCTCAGAGAAACAGACAGTGGGACTTTCTTGTTCACACAGCATTAATGAATCTTTGGTGGCTTAGAACTTTCAAC